TCAGCCCAACTCTTTCTTCCTCTAATGTTTCATGTGGTGCATTCCTCAGTTCCACCAGCCTATCAGGTACCCACATATGTAGCGGCCTCAGATAACAACCGCAATAAAAAACAGCATTTAAGCTGCATTTTTCATGATGCTTTATGATGTGTTACCAAAACATGGCACTGTTTCCATAGGAAGTTATTTAAACATGTTATTGTTTGACAGTCTGTGCCTAATAAAGCTACCTTAAAAACAATACCACAGCAACCTCTCTGTACAACTGGAATGGATAGGATTTTGCCTTGCTGTGCTTTTCACTTGTCCTGTTCTTCTAAGGTGCCTTTTTAATTTTGGAATGCTTATTTATAAAAGTCAGGCCTTTTCTGAAGGGTGCAAGGTATGTATTCATAAATACAGAAGCACCTTAATAAAAGAAAGATGTGCTGAAGCCTTCAAAGCAGACAAGAGCACTGATGTACAAAGACATTCATATAACATTTGAGCTTTATCTGATCAAATTCCAATAAAGCCTGCATTTGGTATAAATCTTTAAAAACATAGCAAGGGCCACTGGAAGATGCTAAAACTTGTTTATTCAAACTTCTTCCTTCTCCCTCCCTGCAAGTGCTTTATCCTCTCAATATTATCTGAAGCCTTGGTGTACATGAGAATGTGCATTGCATGAGTGTTCATAGATGAGAGGGCAGGGAAGGAGCAGGGTGGAGAGCATTCTCTTTGTTTGTGGCCAGGCTGGTTCATTTTTTTTCCTAGCTGCCTACCCTGCAAAGCACTGATGTTTGGTAAATACCATAAACAAAATGGCATTTTCTGTAAGAACAAACATTATGGAGTTTAAGTCTCTGTGGGTCTATCTATGACAGAAAGGGAAGACAGTAGGATTCATAGAACAGAGGAATGAATGCCTGGTTCCTGCTCCTGACAGCCTTCCATGGGTAACACTCAAATGCTGTAGTTAGCATCTATGAAATGCTTCCTACTGTCCTACTAGGCAAATATTGGGCTCTACTGGGGCTGTGTGGGCATCTACTAGCTGATCCCTAGAACCCCACTAGGAGGCTGGTAAATATTATCGCATCCCTTTGACTGATGGGAGCACAAACCTGATTCTGATCTCTGTTTAACTACTCAGTCACTGAACTTCAGTAGACTTGCTCTAAATCCAGTAGAAGGATACCAAGTGACCTGTTCAGAATCCTACAGAAAGTTTATGATAGAGCAAAGGCCATGTTATATTTAGTGGCCCTATAATTTCCTAAGGAAGAAGGAAAACTGGCTCCCATCCTGTCTAACAATCCTTAATCTAATTCAGGATTAGACTGAGGCACTGTAAACTGGTAACAAGGGCCTAACTCTTAGAGTCATATTATTAAATAAGAAATAAATTTTAACACCGTTTTGAACTTAATATGTTTGCAAAGAAAACCTGGAAGACTGGTTCCTGATTTAAATAGGAAACTGGCATCTCTATGAATCTGGAGAAAGACAGAAACTAAGTGCTTCATTCATCTTGGTAGGGTGTTAACTCCAGGGCCTGTTCCCTTGAGTTCCTGCTAACATCACCCCCAGAGGATGTTGTGTTATAGGAGAACAATGCAGCAGACCTGGGTGACTTGTTCAAATGGCTACGCCTTAGCTACTGGGGTAAATACAAATAGACAGAATTGCAACAAAGGCAGCCTATCTGGGTTTGAAGGGAGAGAAACCCTGGAAGCAGGGAGACACCTTACCCTGCTCTGAGGTTGAAAAGAGGGCTACACTCACTAACACTCATTAACAGTCTCTGGGAAAGAAGAAAGGACACTAACAGCGCTCCTGCAAACAGGGGGTAGAGCCGCGGGGATCTCATCTTCTAGTGCGATCTGGGGCCATCTTGTCTTAATCTAAAACTGGAGTCGACACCATTTCTGGGCTTTAACAAAAAACAGTGCATACATCTTCTGATGGTTGCAGAAGAAATAAGTAGGCACTGTCTACAACACAACGTTTGCAGAAGCCCTCTCGATCAAGGAATGGGAAAGACAGGAAGTCACAAAGTTTCTTATGACAAACCCCATTCATCAACCTGCTGGCTTTGAACCATCATGGCAAGAGTGATCCCTGCTAAATAGGTTCAAGACAGGCCAAGGCTCCTGCGCAGCCAACCTTCACCGATGGGGCCTCAGTGTTAACCGATCGTGCACTTGTGGAGAGATACAAACAATGCTTCACATCACTGAGGAGTGTCCCCTCTACAAACTAAGAGGTGGATTAATAACTTTGAACTCAGTTAATAAGGAGGCTATTGCTTGGCTTCACAGATTTGCATTTGCTAAATAAATAAATAGTCTACAAGAGAGTGTAGGGGAACAAACCTGCTGCCTTCTACCTTTCCATTTTCAAGGAGTAGTTCTGAAAGGCCAGGGGCCCACGTACAGGGAGAACCATAATTAGAATACAAAGCTGTTAATTGTGACAGTGACAGGTGTTAATTTCCTAGTCTCCTTGTCCATTTAGTCTTTATATTTTTGGCTGCAATTCTTCCTCCAGATGGAAAAACACTAAACTTTCAGATACCAGGATTCAGTCTTGCCATGCATGCTCTATTTATTTCTGGTTTCATATTAGAAAGTATGCCAAGTACCCCTGTCTCCTCCAGATCAATTACAACTCAGATAATTTTCTCTCTGATCCTATTATAAGACCCACTGAAAGGCAAAGTTAACATACCTCTTAGTATTTAATGGTTGCTATCTCCTTGAAGAAGCATTAGGGAAATTCCCCATCCCCTTGAACTGACATCCTGCCTTTCTCTCTGGTTACCTCCACAGAGGAAGGAAGGGGCCTGGAGATGCAACAAAACCAACTCATTCCCTGAAACTGATGGAAGTGGGACTAATTTTAAAAATGAACAGAATCTCATTAATGTAATGAAACCCCATACATCCACCCCTGAAATCAGTTGGAGCAGGAGCCTAACAATAAAATAAAATAGTGCTTATGTTGGATATAAAGCCACATTGTTCCTTCTAGGCATGCTAGCACAGGTAAGCCCAGCATTCATCTCTCACAGAAAGGTAGGAAGTTAAGCTTGTATTTATGCATGGGAAGGAAATAAGATAATGTGCAGGCCAACCCTACCAGCAGCCCTGCTGCTTTTGGGTGAAGCTTGCTGCCCATACGTGAGATGCTGTCCTAGAAACAGTGACAGCTGCTAGCTGGAGACTGTTCTTCAAATAGTAACTTTCTTTTTTTGTTGCACTCTCCCCTCCTTCCTCTATTAAACCAAGGGATTTGAATACATGCCTGGCAACTATTTTACCTCCCCCATGCTGCTGCTTTCTTCACTGCTGGAAGCTTCTAGCTATAATGTCAGTCACTTCACAGATCCATGGTTCTACTCAAGTTCTTTCACTCCTTTTGTTTCCATAAGCCCTACCTCTAACTGCCTCAGGTTCTCCCTGCCTCTGCCCCAGCTTTCACTTCTGGTCAAAAAAATATCATCTGAGTGTGGAGGATCCTCAAATCTTTCCCCTTTGAGGAAGCCTCCAGATTCCCCCTGTTTTACTATGCTCTCTCTGTTGGGTGTGCAAGGTTTGTGGTGGTGAAAAAGCAGACGTTTGCAGGAGTTTGAGATGTTGGTGCTCATACAGGGAGAGCCACTATTAGAGATATCCTATAGGCCAGAGTCAGTAACACATCTATGTGAATAATTGTGGCAAACTTTTGTTGATAATTGCATACATAAATCAGTGGAAAGAACATTAAGAGACATCAGAGAGGGAAAACTGACGATAAATATATAACAGAACTTCAGAAACTTGTAAGTGAATTGGAAAAAAAAATCACTTCCACACCAACTGGCCGCACAAAGACAACTAGGTGCACTGCAGGGAAACGCTGCAAAGTTCTCTCACACAGAAGACCTAACATTATATGAGTCTCAAATCCGGTGCTTGATAAATAAGAAGGAGCCCAATTTTCACATCTAAAAAGGACCAGCTAGCTTTGGTCTATAACTTCTTTGTGAAGAAATGATTTGCTCTATTGCTGATGTGAAACCTCCCCTCTGTTGCTCTCCATGTTCCTCAGAAAAAATATAACCCTTCACAACACCAGTATATAAAGGCCAGAGTATTTGCCTTCTCCCAGGTGTCTATAACTTACCTAGGTCATATGTCTACTCAAGGCTGTGGTCTACTATAACGAGCTACACCTGGCCATAATCACCAGGCAGGTACTCAGAGAAGCAAAGACACTTTCTACCCAGCTCTACGTTTTGAACCCTGTGTGTGCTTAGTTGGCCAAATGGGGAAATTCAATAGGTTTAGCCTTAGGATCCTTTTCAGGTGCCTGATTACCTACATGCAGAAGCATAAAATGATGATTGTTTTTTGGAGGAACACTAAACTGTCTCTCATCCTGTTAACTGTTCACTAGGCCTGAGAACAACAATCTGTCAATATGCAAATCAAAAATGGTCAAATTTTGGAAGCTCTCTCTAAAACTGCAAACCCAACTTTATGATATCTGAGACTTCATTTTTAGAGGTACTCAACACATTACATATCTGACTGATTTCAACTGATGTTGCTTCTATGCTGGGCATCCAAAATTAAAGGCTACTTTTGAAAATGTGAATCTTCAATGCTTTTTGCCTGAGTTTGCTCCCTTTCTTAAGTGTGTTTAATAATAATACTTGTTTACTTTAGAGAGTTGTTACAGGAATCAGTAGATTAGTATTTATGAAGCACTTTGAGGCCTTAAAATGAAAGGTGATACAAAAGTGTAAAGCTGTAGTATAATTGCTATGATGAAACTTGAAATTCGTTTTACAAATTGGTAAGAACCTTATTATATGAAGCCTGATTTTCTCTTCACTTCCATGTGTGTAAATCAGGAGTAATTCCACTGTAGTAAATGGAATCACATCAACATACGCCAGAGGAGAATCAGGCACATGGTATGTTATCATAAAGATTTGGTGCAAAAATCCAGAGTAAAAGCCAGAGGTTTACCTGATACAGTTCTATTCGTTGCTCAGATACCCGTGCCTTTGAATTCTGCAAACGGAAGACTCTAAACTCTGCCTTCACCAAGTTGGAAGCATTTTTCTCCATCGCTGAGACATCAAATCTTACAATTCTGTAGTAAAGGCTGTAATAGCTTGGTGGGATGGCATCTGCAAGAAGTTAGTGTAATCTTTTAAAATGATAAAATACATTGTTCTCTCAAATACCACAATGCAAGACAGTCTCAAAAACCAGTAAGGGAAATGTCTGTAGCATGATTCAGTTTCCAATGGCCAATTTAATATCATTAACAATTTAACCAGAAAAATAAACACATGTGTTTGATTATAGAAATAGCAGATTAATAGAGATTAACAAACCATTTCCAACTCTATTCTGGGCATGCTTTTAACCTTGTTGTTTAAAAGTAATGGTGGAAAATTCTGGATGCTCATAAACTGGAAGAAACTCATGACAATTGGATATCTGGAAAATGCCTTCATACTTTCATACACTTAATCATATTTGCCAAGAAAATAGACTTTAAATACAAGCAGTTTGTCCTGTATACTACTCCTACCCTTCCCAAGTACAGCGTAAAATATTCAGCTCTGTAAAACATGTTTTCTGTTTAAAATATGTCATGAAACTGAAAAAAGAATAAGAGAGGAAAAAGCAATAGACAAGTACATACAAAACTAGAATTGCATATACTATGACCAGTAACAAGAAATAACCAATAATACATATTCATTTGAACCCTTGTTTTACACTAGTGAAGGGCAGGGACAGACATGGCAGCTATTTTAAGATTCAGATAAGTTGAACTTAAAATTTTCAATAATAGCGTTAAAAAAAAAAGATTTTGAAAGGGCCCGTGTTCCTACTGTAAATTTTGACTGAGTTTAACACACAAAGTACTTGCACATAATTCCAAACATGTATCCTCAAGGGTTTTGTGATCATCTTAGACTGTTCCACCTAATTTTGGCCACAAGCATAAATAGCAGACCATGTGTAGTGCCTCTGAACACACTCTGTATGTGTGACATTCTCCACACCCTCATGTCTGGCAAGAGGTTCCTCAAGTTGCAGAGTGGGCAAACAAGCCAAATTCTGAGATGAATCAAAGTGAATCTGAGGGCCCTATCCAATTCTTATTAATGCTAATGGAAAGTCTTTTTTTCTATATTTTTGAAACTGAAAACTGTACAGAAGAGGAACAAAGAAGACAGACACATCATCGCAGGAAAAAAGACTCAACAATGGACAAAGTGGACCCTGTAGATTTCATCATACTGACAGAGAACACCAGGCAACATTTTAAAAATGCAACATTCTCTCTCACCCTTATCCAAGTTGGTACTTGTTACGCAATGGAAGCAGAGAGCACCCAGTATATTAGGACTTGGCCCCTAGAAAAAGAATAGCCCAAGTGCGAATCCCACAGTTTCTTAAAAGACCTAGGGCAGCCTCTTGCACGATAAACAGCCTTTTCCAGCAGTATAGAGATATATGGGACATTAATCCGCTCTGCTATTGACTGAATAAAGATCTTCCTTCTGTAAACTTTTAATCACAGTCTGGCTATTGCTGTGGAAACTCCAGTACCCATGGTTTTATTTTAAAGCCAAGAATAATGGAAGATAACTGAGACAAATAATTAACAATGAAAATCTATAGACAAAGACTATGTTGCATATATACAATGTCTTTAGGGTGCTTGTTTACAGCTGGCAGAACTTTAGAAAAGTCCTGTGGCTCTAACCATACGTAAGAAGTCAGCACTTTGAATTTTACATTTAACATCTCTGTAGCTGTTCATTGCATCCATTTATGTATTTATTCTGGGTTCAAATACAATAAAGAACAACAGTAAGTAATAGTAATGATCCATCAAAGAAAAGAACAGAAGCAGCAAAAAAAAAAAAAAAAAAAAAAAAAAAAAAAAAAAAAAAAAAAAAAAAAAAAAAAAAAAAAAAAAAAAAAAAAAAAAAAATGAAATAACATATTTCTTCTATTTTTATGACTTTCACAAGCCATTTCCTTTGGAAAAATGACCCGAAGTCTCATTAAAAAAGTGGTGAAAGTAGATGCTCTCTTTTAAGTAATCCTTGATAAACTTTCAGATAACAAAGAAACAATCTAGACACTCTAGAACTCTGGATTCACTATACATGAAAGGTAACAATTTCTCAAAATATTTACTAACACCTATGGGTGATGAAACGGGGGCCCTAAATTGAAGTGGTGGGTTTTTAAAAATACCGCTTCAATTTTGGGCCAATTAAACCCGTGTCGAGCACACGCCCGACTTACTTGCCTCTCCAGCAGTGGGGAGGGGAGGGTGAGCTGCTGGCAGGCAGAGCGGACCCTAGGCTATGGGGGCAGGGGGGCTGGTGCTTCCCTCCGCGGCAGCGGCACCCCCCCTCCCTGCCCCCCCTAGGCAGCACCCACCCACAGGCACGCACTAGGCTCTTGCACAGCTCAGGCAGGCAGGCTCCCGGGAGGAAAAAAAAAAGATCATGCTTGCCGCTTTTTTTCCCCGCCTCTCTTGGGCAGAGCCTGCCTTCCCTGGCTGCTGCCAAACTGCCTGCAGGGCTTCCTGCAGAGCCCCTGAGCTGCATGGAGCCCTGTACTTTGCTCAGTGGCTGGTAGGGCAGCAAACTAAAACTCTTCAGAGGAGTTTAAGTTTGCTGCACCCCAAGTCATTTAAGGCGCATTACGCTGCCGAATTTGCTACAGTGGCTGTAATTAATGCGCAATATGCTGCTGAGGCATGCAAACAGCGACACTATTAAAGCGGTGCAAAAGCATTTAGCCTGCTTTAAAGTATCATGTACATATGCCCCTTGTTTCATCTACACATGGCCTGTGTTAGTGAGGACACCTAAAAGGAAGCCTGATTCAACATGGCAGAATACCTTCTTTCCAATCGTCTTTACTGATCCCATTAATAAAAAAAAAAAGACTACTCCAAGTTAGCAGATGTAACATGCTATAGAACAAATCCTGAATGATCCTTAAGATGGGTGATATCCCTGCTGGCACAATTTTTGCTATAATCTTAAAAACAGAATTCAAATGGGAAATTGGTCTCTAAAGCTTAGATAACAGGACAATTCTTATCTTACTAAAGTACTAAAGTAAGAACAATCTCTCCAAGTACCAGGAAATTGCCTTCTGCTAAGTTTCCCTAAACATATTGAACAACTTAGTCTTGATACATTTAAAAGTAAAAGGAAGCTGCCTGTGTCAAGGATTATATCCCCATTTGAGTAGAAACAGCCATTTCTTTTTCTGCTATGGAGGACCCCAGCCCTATTACTTGTTACTCAGCCAAACCTCATCCTATCAGGAAAAGAGAATCCTCAGTGTATCCCTTAGATTTCACATCATCAGGGGAATAGAATTTGCCCTAGCAATACATATAGGCATTACTGATGCATTCAGGATGAAATGCAAGTTGTCCTCCCTTGTCATTTATTTGATGTATCAGCCTACAATTAGAGAACCCCAAAACTATTACTTGTTCCTTAGCCAAACCTTATCCTGCTAGGAGAAGAGAATGCTCAATTTCACATCATTAGAGGAATATAATTTAGGATAATACTATGTAAATGTACGACTGGTGTGTCCAGGATGAGATGGAAGTTGTCTTCCCCTGTCATTTATTTGAAGTACCAGCCTATAATTTTGTTCCCTGTGGAGAAGCCAAACTATGAGAGGGCTATTCTTTTGGCTGCATACACACATCCTGTTCATGCACTTTATCTGACATATGTAAGAATCTGGTTCATCCCCCTGTGCCAGAATTAAAATTACATTCTAAACAATTTCCACCTTGTGCTTCTTCCATTTTTAACCAAATACAATCTGTTTGTTCACACTTTTTATCCCTTTTCTGTTTCTTATTACAGTTATAGTCTATCACTAATCTATGTGTGTATCTGAAAAATCTCTCAGGGCTTCCTGGATTCACTTCTTCTCTGTGTGTGCAAGTGCGTGTGTGTGTACATGTGCACATGCATTTTTCTCTCTTTATGGACAGATTGTATTTCACCTATCAAGCTTGTAAATGGACTTTGGCACCTGCTTGAGACCATACTAAGGTGGCGCGTCTTCATCACTTTTTTGTGACTCCATCTTATGCCTAAGATGTTGGCATGCTCCAAAAATAGATGCACAACTCAAATAGGGTAGAATGGAATCACACTAAGGTGCCTACATCCACTTAAATGCCCCTATGGAATGGAATCTGGTCCTATTTCTATTTCTCTCCACATTTTTTTATGTAGATTTCACCTCTTTAAAAAAATGTAAGCACAGTTTTAGTATCTTACAACATCCTAGATAACATACCTGATTTACGCCTTCCCCACCATTTACTCTACTCCACTCCACCATCAGGAGTTCTACAGTCAGTCAGTTTCAAAAGTGTAAAGTCATGGACAGCAGAACAAAATCAGCTCTTTACTGCCAGAGGCCCCCATCCTATAACTGACACCACATGGAACAGACAGAAGAATCAGGACCTAAATACAAACGCATCAGCCTTTAGGCTTTATAACTGCAAAAAGTATCTCACGGACTTTAAAAGGAGTTGGGCTGGGCCCCAAATGAATCTAAGATTCTGTAATTCTGGCCCCCCACCTTAGCCTATGATTTGCATCTGTCTAGACTCACTTGGGTTCCCTGGGATACCCCTCTCATTTTGGCCCAATGGATTCATTGTATGGATAGGATAAATCTGGATCGTTTGTTCTGTAAGCAATATTGTTGCTAAAATATATGGGCTAAGTATTCTGTGAAAGAGAAGAATAAATGGGCGAATTCAACTAATTCAATATTGAAGGCAGGGTAGAGATGCACCTCACATACTAGCTAAATCAAAGAGATGTATAAGCTTTTGAGCCCATGCTCACTTACTTCATCAGATGCTATCCTGTTATTACAGCAAGAGCGGGATGATATTTTTTCTTATCAGTGGTAAATTCACTGAAAAAATGTGGTTTTGGTTATCCTGAAATTATTCCTGAATTGGACACAAATCTGCAGAATAGTTTCAGATGCAGGTAAAACTGGGGGGCTTGATTCACAAAAGAAAGACAAAGGAGGTGAGAGCAGTGCCTCGCTTTTGCCCAGTAGCTCAATCATTAGGGCACACACC